AAAGGCCTTTAGTACGGGTTGGTGGCTCCAACCGGTACTAAAGACCCTCCCCCTTTAGTATCAGTTGGAGCCATCAACCGGTACTAAAGGTGGTGCGCTGCCACCCGCAGTGCACAATGTTTAGTCCCACCTCGCTAGTTGAGAGGAGCTCGCACCGGTTTATAAGCCCCGCCGTGGCTACCGTGTCGAGCTCCTCTCTAAGCAGGCCTTTGTGGGCCTATTGCAAGTCTTCTGCCCTGTGGGGCCTACTGGGCCGTACGGGGCTGCATCCTGGCCCAACTAGAGATTGTGTTTCTAGTCGTATGCAGGCCGTGTCGGCCCAGTAGACGGGCTGTTTTTACTTTATTTCAAAAATAAAAATAAAAAAATCCTTACCAACCGGGACTAAAGGTCCCCCAGACCATGGCGCACCTCGTGCCACGTGGTTGCCCTTTAGCGCCGGTTCGTGCGAAACCAGTACTAAAGGAGGAGGGCGGGGGGGCTTTTAGTGCCCACACTTTAGTGCCGGTTACCGAACCGACACTAAAGGGCCTTACGAATCGGGGCTATAGCCCGGTTCTGCACTAGTGTGTGTACATGCTAGCGTGCACTAAACATTTGATAGATTTAACAGATTTTTTATGTGTGACCTGCATAAAAATTGGTGATCTGAAATGCACCTTTGAAAATTACCTACTACCCCATTTTGTTTTGCTTTGCAGATGACAAACAAAAACTAGTATTCCATGAAACATCGCTCATCCATAATGTATTTTCACAACTACACACGAGATTTTTGCACATGTTCATTTAAAACATGTAATTGCATCTTTTATAAATTTCAAAATAAGGAGTTAGCAAGTTAGCTGATTATAACTGTTCACATAGCAAGTTTTGAATTTTTAAAAATAAATTTGTAAATGATAGTTGAAATGAGTTTTGGTTATTTTTTAGTACTGCTACAATGCTCCATAAACTTGTACATCATTATTTTTCAGCGCTTCTCGTATCTATTTTTGAGCAAACCAAAGTGACAGCAATGCAGTTGCACATAAATTTTACGTAATGCCTGGACACGCGATAAATAAACGTTATCAGCTGGTTGGTGAGAAAGGACGACTCTAGTCACTCGATCTATTCCGCTAGCGACTACGACTGGCAATTGAAGGTACATAAATAAGCTCACAAGTGAAACTCTGTTGTACTAGCTACAGATGAGTGGGATTTGGGAGTATGCATGCTTTTGGTAGGATTGGAAGGTACTCCCTCCTTCCATCATACAGAATGGACTCTCCATATCGAAGTGGCTTGCAGGGGCTTAACGTTTTGCACGAAGCCTCTCGAAGGTGCCGCAGCTTCCAGAAACCACATGCTCTATCTGCACTCCAGATACAGCCTATCCTTGACGTGTAGAGAGTACACTGTAGCTTAAGCTGCTGACAAACACTGTAGCTTCCAGAAACCACTTGAACAAATGGAAGATTAAGCTGCTGGCAAACACTGTAGCTTAGGGATAGAGAGAGAGACAAATAAATTAATCTTTCAGATGCAAGATTCCTTAACATTTATATAGTTTTGTTTTCTGCCTAGAAAAAACTGATACAAACACCAGTCAATTTGTTTTCAAAAAAAAAAAAAAACTGATACAGTACACCACCTTCTTCAGTACAACCCAAATGCATCCAAAGTATGATCCGATCCAACTCCGTGTACACGTAATCCTTTTAGGTCTGGCCGAAATTCTCCATTAGATCTGCAGACGAATCAAATTTTAATATTATTGTTAGGACATGTTTTCTTTCCAATATGTCAATTAGGTAATGGGAGAGCTACTCTTATGTGGCATGACGGTGTGATCAACCTTTATGGCAAAATTTCCACAGCTGCATT